TGAAGGCAATCTACAAGTGCGGATTCTCCTGGACTACATGAGAGGTTCGCGGGGCAAGCAGAACTCCCGGAAGATGGTAGAGCCATTGCTCAAAGGCAAATATGGCGATCGCTGCAAAGTTTTCCTCTATCACACACCGAAACTACGCGGCGTCATGAAGGCGACGATTCCCGACCGTTTTAACGAGCTTATCGGACTGCAGCACATGAAGTTGTACATAATCGATGACGATTTGATTATTAGTGGGTAGGTTACTGTTGCGATAATTAGTTGACAATGAAGGAATTGTAGGATTTATAAAAATTGGTTAGCGATAGTTTGATTTGTAAACAAAAAAAAGGAAAATATACTTTGCGAGTTTAGTTTTATATGATAAATATGATAAAAAAGATCGATCAATGTCATCTTGTCAGAAATTGGCAGAAATGGGAAAGACAAGATTATTTTAGTATTTTAAAGACATGTATATCTAACATGAAAAAAAAAAAAAATTATATATATATATATATATATGTATGTATATGTATATACACACTTTTTAGGGCGAACCTCAGCAATGATTATTTTACAAATCGGCAGGACCGATATTTCGTCGTAGAAGATTGCGCGGAACTTTGTGACTTTTATAACAAATTAATCGAAAGAGTGATGGAATTTAGCTTTCTGTTGCAATCAGATGGTAATACGGATTTGAATTCTGCTGTGAATTGCATTCATCCTTTAAAAGGATCCAGAAAAACTTTTATCCAAGAAGTCGCGTCCAGAATACAAATGCTATTCCGGGATGAAATGGAAAAGCGCGCTAGTCTGGATAAGGAAGGTAATGCCGATTCTTTACAAGTTTTTTTTATTCACAAAGTAAGAAGGGTATTTAAAAATATTTTACTAATAAAGTTGAAATATAAAAAGTACAGAATAGTATTACTTTGTGAAGTTATATTGTTTTAATTTTTTTTTTCAATACATTGCAGATGCAGATACATGGATATTTCCAATGGTGCAGATGGGTCAGCTCGACGTCTATCACGATAGCGCGATAACGTTGAAGCTCATACAAACGGCTCCAGTTGGAGCTACGCTTAAATTAGCGACCGGTTATTTCAATTTGACCTTTGATTACAGTCAAGCTTTGCTCAGAGATTGTCAAGCAACGTGTCATCTTTTGACAGCGCATCCCACTGCCAATGGTTTTTTCAGTATGTTATATATTGTAAAAGAAAATTTTGCTACATCATTAATATAAATTACTTCTAAATTGATAAATTATCTCTAAACTTTGAATTATATAATTCAGTAAATCGTTTGGGAGAGAAGGGAGAAGCTTATAAGAAACGCATTTGAAGACACATAACATTTTTCTTATAATTATAATTATTTTTTTTTTTTTTCAAAGAGCTTGTATGAATAATTGAAACTATTTACCGTTGTTATTACTATAGTATTTTATCTCTTCAAGATGCTAAGGGAATTGCTGGAGGAATTCCGGCAGCTTACACCAAAATAGAGGAATCTTTCTATGATTTATGCGAAAAGATGGATCAGCACAACAGAATAACATTATGGGAGTTTATTAAACCGGGATGGACTTATCATGCCAAAGGTCTCTGGTACACTTTGCCAGATCAGCGGAAACCCTCCTTGACTCTTATAGGCTCGTCAAATTTTGGTAAAGTTTTTATTACCTTCAATTCTAATTTTAAATATCGAGATATTGACGACATAAATAAAATATATTGCAACTTGTTCTTTATCGTTAAACACGAAAGAAAAAGCCGAAAATCCTTGATATTCTTTTTTATGCAATTCACAATCGTCTTTGAGTGAAAAATTAATAATGTTATAGTTTTAATGCTTAGTTTTTTTTTTTTTTTTATAGATACCGTTAGTGTTAGTAATTAGGAGAGTAAAGTTGCAATAAATGATGATTCTTTTTAATTATTTCAATGTGAGTTCAACTATAATATTTAAAAATAAAGGATGCTTTAGGTTATAGATCAGTTAATAGAGATCTTGAGACACAGATAGCTGTTGTGACGAAGAATAACAAGTTACAGGACGCGCTGCATGAAGAACAGGCGCAGTTATTCTCATGTGCTAAGCCTGCCACAAGAAAGACTTTCTTGCAGCAAGATAGAGTACCGCCAGCCTGGGTGTGCGCGATTGTACTTTTCTTCCGTTATTATTTTTAAAATTAAAATGTTTGCCTCTTATAAGAAGGCAAATTAAATAAAATTTTACACTTATTTAATTTTAACTGTAATATCGTTGTGCAATAAGTACATCTCACATTAATATGCTTCTTATGTCAAGCTTAATTAATTAATTCATATTTTATGAATACAAACTTATTCACGTTCATTTTTAATCCTTTCTCTTTAATCATATACACTTATTGAATAATACCAGCGGTATTAATTTAGATTAAATAGAATATATCTAAGTGTATATTTTTTTTATCTTATATACTTTTATTATCAGAAATATAAAAAAAATGTGATGCAAATTTAAAGGAAGATTTGTACGATATACAAAAATAATGCTGTATGAACAATTAAATATATTACGATACATACCAAAAATGATCAAGCTACTATGAAAAGTACACAGTTTGAAATTGTCTAAGAAAGTGCCATGTACCTCCCATGTGATTCCTTTGATTATTAAAGCTTTTATACCTTATAACTTTGCAAAAAATCCAAACAACTTTTTTGATCAATGTAATATAATTCTTTAAATTCTAAGAGATTATTTTATATATATATATATATATATATATATATATATATATATAAATCTCCAGTTGTGTGCAAACTTTTCTGTTAAAATATAATAAAATTGTGAAAATTAAAGAGATCAGATGAGATAGATGATGATTCTTTGACGAACGATTTTTAATGCAATATTAGAATTTTTTACCATCTTAAATTTTGTATGTGAAAATTGAAAGATTAATTAATTAATGTCGTCTTTCAAGGGATAAATTAGAATTTTATTTTGTAAATTAATAACAGAGCAAGCCGTAAGTTTGGTAGCGCGATCATTTTCTCGCGGGCTATTCTATAAGGAATATGATAGAATTTAATATTATTACGGTGTCGTCGCTTTTTGCGCAGCATCGGAGATGCGAAAGCGACTTTAATCCGGATACAGTTGTAATAATACAAGAACAATTGTCTGTTGAAACCACTCATGGTTCACAGATCAAAATAATTGCAACGATTCGATTGCAATTATTATCGATGATGATAGTGGCAAAGATGACGATTAATAATGTAACACACTTTGTAGATGGAAACCGATTGCTTTTGTAGAGATTTCCAAGACCGGCAATCAGTGCGCGATAATTAACAATTATCCGGCGAAATTTTACTTATCGTCAATCACAAATGTTTCTTCTTTGACGAAAAATTCCACGACCTCCTCTTCTACGTTCTTCGAATCGGAATCTAGCTCGTCGGTATCGATATCTAAAAACGTACATATACGCGATGATTAAATCATGTTTATATAGAATTGTGAATATTATTTTTAACGCAATAATATGGAATTATTTCAAAAGCGTCTATAATCGCTTTATAGAATATTGAAAGGTATATCTAATTTTATTATTTTTAATATATACTTACTGCAACGTAATTCAAGACGACGTTTTTTCTGATTATTCCATTCTTCGATTCGTTTGGTACGATACTCTTCGAACGCCTTCATCAATAAGCAACGCTTCTCAATTAGCTCCTATAAAATTGTTGACGAGTTGTTAAAATGTACCAATATCCAGAAATCTGTTGAGATTTTCGAATAGTTTCACGTTTCTCCGCGCGCGCGTATACACACACACACACACACACATGTTTGATATATACTGTTTGCGGGGGGGGGGGGGGAATTGTTTGATATATACCGTTTTGGGGAAAGGAAAAAAAGAAAAAAAAAGAAAAGAAAAAAAAGCAACGAATGATTTAAAGATTGAAAGTAGAGATGATTGCGTGTTGAAAGAAAAGAGAAAGGATAACATTACGTATAATAAACAAAGATTACTAATGTACCTTTGAAGCGCGTGTCAATCGCATGCGGTCCTTGCTCTCAAACTGCGCCGAATATTTTTTCAGGTTCTTTTTGATTTCTTTAATTTGTTCTGCGGTGAGCAGAGTCGGTGGTCGTGGTCGCCATAACAGTTGATTGAATGCATTCAGGTTGACTCTCTTTAAAATACGACCCTGGAATGTCCATATCCAGTAGCCATTGTCAACACTCGTCTTCCAACTGGATACTGCTGTGACGACGTATCTGAAATTAACCATAATCAGAATTGATTAAATTCAATCTCTTAATACACATATATTTTCAATATATTTATTAATTTTTCTTATATTGTGTAAATTGTTCCAATCCACTATCTTTTGAACTTACCTGCCAGTAGGATCCCATTCTACATCTGAAGTTTGATAATGATCAGTGGAATTCATGATGGTAAAATCATTGGTGTCAATAAATTCCAAAGCGCCAGCCATCGTTGTCAAGCCAGCGAGAACGATAAATTGACCCGATGGCGACCAAAATAAGTGATTACAAGCTTTCTTCTCTAATCTTTCTGTGACATTAAAAAAGTGCGATTTATAAATATTATTGAACTTAAATTAGTGAAACACAAAGATTGACAAGTTGTTAACTTGATGAATAAGAAGAATAATAATGAGAATTCCATTATATATTCACTTACTGAGAAGAGCGGGCTGGTGACCATATCGCACTTCATAAAAGCTGACATTCACGCTTGGTATTTCGCCATGGATGATGGCAAATTTGCTGCCAACCGGCTCCCATGCAAAAGCATGAATCGGCTCTTTTATTTCCACGCTGTCTACGGGAATCTGTTTCTCTCTCATGTGGAAGATCTCGAAATTATACGACATACCCTATATAATGCGAAAAAAAAACGGATGAGATTTAATAATAATAATAATAATAATAATAATAATAATAATAATAATAATAATAATAATCGAAAGCTTTTCCTCAAAATATAAAATTTGAAATTCTCTTTTGAGCTCTGAGGTACATAAAAAATTATTTGACTTGCGGACAGCGCACATGCGAGAACTATATTAAAACTCAACTCACCGTATACTTTTGTTCCGTTTTTTCTTTGCGCTTGGCAAAGCGATCGACTTTTACGCATAGATAATCACCAGATTTTTGCCAAAAGATCTTGCAATCGGCTACATTGAATAAATTCTTATTTCGTATTTCATTACGGCTGAAAGGTCGGAAATTATTTAATGAAAAATCACTTTCATTTAAATTGATAACTAATTCAAATTTAAAAACTCACTTGGGAATTTCGAGCAGAGTTACCCTGGCCGGAACGTCCTTATCCTCTGGCACCCAATAAGCGAGAACGTTGTCCGTTGGGGACCAACTAAAATCTCTGATTCCTGGTATTTTGATACTCTTCTTATCCAGTAGGCCAAACGACTAAAAAAAAATAATAGCAGCAATTGAGTAATAAATTTAAAGCAGCAAGAGCTGTGTAAACTACATTCAAGAGACTGTCTTAAATATTATTGTAAAAAGTATTCACTGGAGTCTCGTAGACGCTAAGGACATCTTCTCCCATGCGAGCTAGATATTTATCGTCGTGCGACCATCGGAAGATCGGCCAGACGGAAGATCCATCGGGAAAAAAGGACCGTTTCTCTTGACCCGATAAAATATCCCATATCACCAGGCGCTTCTGGTCTTGTCCGAGATCGGTACGCGGAGTGTAGGTAACCAGATAACGTTCGCCGGGCGAAAAATCGATGCACTCGACGCCCCGTTGACTGAATCTGGCCTGCTGAGTGAATTGCGGCCCGCCCCATAGCGCTACTCCCAGCTTGTGGAACGTTGCTAGATACGTGCCCAGCGGCGACCATTTTACATATGTCTCTGTCCAGCGCTGGAAAACCAGAAAAAAAATAACTCGAATTTCGATTATATTGTGTTTTAACAGACCTAATCATTTTCCATAGATCCATAATTTCAATAACATCATATCAGTTTAATTTTTATATTTTTTAAAATCTTAAGCTTACTTAATATTGCAATTATATGTTAAATAAAAAGTGTGATATATCGTTAGACTTTTATTTAAAACACGGAAAAAAAGAGTCTACATCAAAGTTTTGTCCCTTAATGTTTTTTTTTTCTTCTCAAGAGCAAATTACTCACATTGCGTTCTTCAAGTAAAGTAGGTTCTGGTGCAGAGTTCTGCCATATTTGCACCGATACACCCGCCCCATTGCCACAGAGAACACAAAACTGATCGTAAGCATCCGGTTCCAATAGATGGTAGTGCAAGTCGCTGGCAGACTTGAAGGGTTGAGCTTTCGGCGGTTCCCAGTTTTCGGGGATATCCTCATATTTGTTGAAATCCGTGAAAAGATTGACCTTGAACGTATGCGATTTGTCGATCTTGTAATTATTAGTGGATTTGACCGCAGTTAGAGCATTCAGATGATTGTTGTATTCCAGAAAAATATATCTGTCAATGAAGAAAAGGAAAACGATTCTCATAAAATATTTTTCAACGAAATAGCTTTTTTAAAATTTTTGTCCCAACTTTTTCATCAGTTTAAACTAACCCTTTAGTCTTGCCGTCGTTCTCATTCATCGGATAGTGCTCGTTGACAATTGTACCAAATTTTCCCAACACCTTGTTGATAACAGACTTAAGCTTCTCCAATTTATCGGGTTCCACTCGAGGCACATTATCCACGACAATCATGGATTCTACTCCATCTGTCTCCGATGGTTTCTGCTTCAAGATATCACCAAGCAACTCTACAAGTTTATAACAAAAGTTTTATCGTTGCAAAAAACACTTGCTTCCCTAATATAATGTGACAATAAAAAAATATTTAAAATATTTTGTAAAAACATTGCAAACACACTTTTCTAGCTAATAGTATTTCTAAGAATAAGTACAATCGAGTAATTTTACTAAACTATTTATTTATGGCTAGGTAAGTAAGGTTCTCATAAATTGTAGACGACGTGTAGATTAATATCGATGCGGCAATTAATTGCTTTACTATTTCTACCCCCCTTAGTAATTATAGATCTTTAAGTAACTATAGATGAATATACTTTGTAAGAAGAATATTTTTAAGATAATTTTTATTCTAATAGACAGATAGACTTTCCGATTTATTAATACCTGTAGTAATATTTGTTATATTAATAATAATGTAATAATTATTACTGTAATAATATTTTTTATATTAATAATATTAATACCTGTAATAATTTTCACGTTCCTGAGATTATAACGTAATGTATTTTTATTAGGTATAAAGAACATTTCACATAGATTTACTTTATAGAAGAGTCAAGGTTTGCTCTTTCAAGAGATAGGATGATGGGGAATTTGATAAGGGAATTTAATTTTAATATTCAAGAAGAAAAAAAAGAATGGACCCACGAATGGACTTTAATATTGTTTATTGTTTGTAGTATTGTTTCACATCTTTCAACTAAAATTACGACTAGCATCAAAATAGAGCGTTTGCATATAAAACAAGAGATTAACAAATAAAAAAATCATTTTCTTTCTTAAAAAAAAAGGCAGATTATAACATTGCCAGCCTGTGGAGCAGATTATTTATTATATGATGCTTACACACAATATTACACAACACACACACACACACACACACAAATTTTTTTCTTTCCAACAAGTATCAATGAACAGTTATCTCGCTTCTCTATTCATCAAGATTACCATCAAGTTAATAATAAGATAGTCGTAATGATTATTAAATTTGCGTAAGAATGCTTTCGATTCAATAAAGTTATACAGTACATTTACATCTTGATACATTTAACTTTTATCATATTATATACTTTCTCCTCGAAAGGAAGGTTACAGGTTAAGTTACATCGGCGATCAGCATATGTGAAAATGAACAAAGTTGGGCGTGTCGACATTCGACATTCGGAAGAGTTTCGAAATGAATCGTGACTCATCGAAACATGCGGCAAGCATAATTTCTCAACATCTAAATCGCAAATGACACACTCTAAATGCAAGATTCTCCATGCTCGCAAGGAGGATGCACGCGGTCAAGTGCAGACGTGTCGCGTTTTGATATCTCGACGAGGAAAAAGACGACGGGGCGCTCACCTTCATCGGTAATATCATCTACGAAGCCTTCGGGATCGCTGAAGTTGGGTTCCTCATCGTCATTCATCGGATCGTCGTTGCCCTTAGCCTCTTCGTTTTGCGCCGCTTTCTCCGCCAGAGTTTTCTTCGCCATCTTGGAAACCTCTGAGCATGCCGTTGCCTCCTACCGATATCGCATCCGCATCCGTATCCGTGAACGTGAATCCGCGCCGTGGCCACGCCGCACCGCGACAAAAATGGCAGCTGACAGGCTGACACTCGCTCTTGCCACAAGGAAAAAAGAACTAGGCGATCGTTATCGATGTGAGCAGTGGCCGCATTCGATGCTGATTGGCCGAATTTGAAAGTAGAAACCAATCGCGCTGATAGTAGGATCTACAAGGACCGCGTCTCAGCGGACTTAACATGATTGGTTTCCGCTTTCAGGTCCGACCAATCAGCGTCGAATTACCGCCGGAAAATCTAGTAATGTCGCCCAACTGTCGAGTCCGCTGAATGCGGCCACTGCTTATTACCAATTCGAGTTCTGATTGGCCATCTACATTTCTTGGATTTCTGCTTTTCCGCCAATGTGTGAATGCGCCCTAAGAGCTTGCGACGAACGCGACAACAAGCGCTTCGTTCAGCCTCGTCGTCGGTATGAGACTTTACGTTTCTCGTGTTCTTGCGCGTTCTCAAATTTCGAGTGCATAGGAATGACACGGAAGTGTTTTTAACATTGTAATAATTTTTCATTGTACATACAATATACATCTTTCTACGTACTATTTATATATTAAGCCGTCGACATGTCGGCGCTTCACGTGAAAACTAAAGGGAAGGCTGAAGAAAAACAGCACAAAAGGTCTTTTATATATCTCTCATATTCTCTTTCTCTCACTCTCTGTTTAATATCATAGGCGCACGCACACGCACGCACACACGCCACACATACACGCGCGCGCGCGCACACACACTCACACACACACACACACACACACAAAATTAATTCTTTAATTTTATAATATCAAGTTCTCCGTGAAATTATATCAATTTCATAATAAACAGATTTGAAAATCAGTGTTGTATTAATATTCTTACTTCAAAATTTTTACAGTCTTGTTAAGAATGGATTTTTTCTTTTTTTAAATAATTTTTTTATAAAATTAATTAATTTCACACTTGTACAGTAATCATATACACTTGTTTCTATTTTAAATATGGAAAAATTGAAAGAAACTATGGCTTTTGTAGCGACACGGAAAAATTCTGCACCACCATGATAAAGACAGAAATTTTGTCGGAAACAGACAAAAGTGCAGATTTGGAGATCCCTCAGAGTAGGAAGCACAAATTGTCGCCCGATTGTGAACATGTATCCAAAGTAGCCAAGTATGATAACGAGGAAGATGCTCTATCTGCTGTAAGTTTTGAATGTTTGCATTTCTGTTATGTTTTGTGAGTTTTTTTTATGTTTGCATAACTGTTGTACTAATGCTAAAATTTCTAATATTTTTTCTATCGCAGAGCACAAGTGTTCCCTCAGATTTGACAACATCTGGAAATAATGAAAAAAGCAATGATAAATCTAATACAGGTAGAAGCACTGACAATACAGTTTTGGTAGCTGATCATTATAACATGTTGGAAGAGAAGGGATTATCGTTCAGAAATCAAAGTCGCATTGTATACATGAGAAATTTTAATAACTGGATTAAAAGCATGCTTATACGTAAGTATTAATTTTTAAATGTTAAATGTTGAATAATATAAAATCATTGTTAACAATAAAAGAGGAACAACAGTGAGAGATTTTTGCAACTGAAACACAGTTGCTATTAAATAATTGCGATTGCAAACATTGAAATTTTGAAAAATTCACTTTGATCTCTATTAAATATTTTAAAAAATATTAAATTTATACTGTTATTAACTCTTTCTTAAATTATATTACATTATATTAACTCTGTGATTTAAACCTATCAATCTTTTTTCTTATTTCATCGACTAATATGCTGCAAGTGCTGCAAGAGCGAATAAACCTATTATATTATTCCGGTTATAGATGAATATGTAGTTAAGCTGAAACAAGGTAAGAGTTTCGGAGCATCGCTAAGAGTGTTGGATATGTGCTGTGGGAAGGGGGGAGATCTTCTCAAGTGGAAAAAGGCAAATATCTCTCATCTGATCTGTACAGATATAGCACAAGTGTCATTAGAACAGTGTCAGCAACGATACAGCGACATGGTGAATAGGAAAGGTTCTAAGGATAGAGGTTTCGCTCCCATTTTTACTGCTGAATTTATAACAGCTGATTGTACAAAGGTAGAAGATATATATTTTCATCTTAAATCGTACTGCAATTGTATGCAATTTTACCTAGCAAGAAATGCACTTGTCAATGGAATTTGGTTAATCAGGATTGTTGCAGGTTCGTTTGAGAGAAAAATTTGCGGATCCAAGTATGCAGCTGGACTTTGTTAGTTGCCAATTTGCATTTCACTATAGCTTTGAATCCCTACCGCAAGCGGAATGCATGCTCCGAAACGCTGGCGAGAGTCTCAAGCCTGGTGGTTATTTTATCGGAACCATTCCAGATGCATACGACCTAGTGTATGTTTCTCTTTACCTTCTTTATTTATTTTTTTATAAATATCCGTTTCTATTGGAATTATTACTATTTTTTTTTTTAATACATAGAATATAAAATATATATAGTGTATTATAACAAAATCTCACAATTATACATAATTTATAAGAAATTAATAGTAATGAAAATAATATTGATTTTTTCTTTCAGACCAAATTATACAATCTTTTGAATTTATTTTCACAAGTCTTTTTAATCCCTTTTCTACTAAAGAATGTATATTCAGTTGCACATAGATATATATAATTTTTTTTTCATATATAGAAGGTAACATTTCTTACATGCAAAAGCGAAATATACCCTCATATTATTTTCTTTTCTTCTAATATAGTTCTAGATGGCAAAAATGTGACGGTAATAAATTTGGCAACGATGTATATAGCATTGAATTTATATGCGAAGATAAGACAAAGCCGCCACTTTTTGGCGCCAAATATAATTTTCACTTGGATGGTGTTGTTGATTGTCCAGAGTTTCTAGTGCACTTACCCACTCTTCGCAAATTGGCTTCAAAGTATGGTCTTGAATTGATAGCATTTGAAAGGTGAGAGAAAGAGAGATGTTTTCTTTTTATTTAAATCTATCGGTCGCTCGTATATATTAGTAATAATTTCAAAAATCGAGAAAGAGACTTATTTTATTATTTATAACTTGCACAAATTAACTTAAGTTTGCATAGGTATACATTAATATTAAAAAATGGACAAATTTTTTAAATTTTCATTTTGGATTAAGATACGAAGATTATTTTTTTTTCTTCCTTCAGGTTCGACGAGTATTACGAACGTTTTAAAGACGAAGGCAGGTCCCTTCTAGGGAATATGCAGGCATTGGAAACTTATCCGCCATATCACGAAACACCTTTGCTCGGCGATCCAGAGCAAGATTATCAACACGCTGTTCGATATATGCAGAATCTACCCGCCAATCATCGCAAGATCGGCACTCTCTCGCAATCGGAATGGGAAGTCACTTGTTAGTATAAAAATAACAAAAATGAAATTGATAAGATTTCGGATCAATTCGATTTTAAGATTCTTCAACAAAAGTCTCTTTTCTTTTCTTTACAGCATTGTACGCAATCTTTGCGTTTCAAAAAATGAAGACCATCTGGAACAGTGAAGGAAAACCAGAGTATGTAAAATTATAGAGCGTCGTAGTTTTAGGTAAATCGCAGCGATAAAAGAATAATTTTATCGACTGATTTTATATTACAATAAAAAACTTTATTACTATAGATGGCTTATTACAATATATCATCCGTGTAATACTTGTGTAAAACTGTAGTTTAATAGAGGCTGACGATCATGTAAAAATCTCGTTAAAAACGTTGAAGTTAAATCACTGATTGCGAGACAAAAATAATTTTTCTTCTCTTTCATTTGTATTAAAATTCGATTCTTTCGAGGTGCAAGAAATTTTTTAGTATTACACGAATGACTTATAATAATAAATACACTAGAGATATAATATTATATATAAAATATAATTATTTGAAATATATAATCTGTAAATAAATTAATAAGATTCTGAATATTAATTTTAATATAGCAATTTTTGTATAATTATTAACTCGCGACAGGAAATTATATATCCTACATATCTCTATCTCTTATCAAACTACTACTCCACATTATTTATACAGATATGGTAAAATTTTATCATTTCTTTAACGTACTTTATTGACCGTGTATAAGAATAATTTATAAAAATTGTATTATTTAAAAAAAAAAGAGGATTCTCCTTTACTTTCTCTATTTTTCAAAAATAACTGTCCTACGAAGATCATGTAAAAGTTTGCTGTTGAAAATTTTATATAGAGGATGATCGAAAAAGAGATCGATATAAATTTTTTCGCGCCAACATTTTGAAAATTATCGAATGTACGTACACTCGAATCCAACTTTGCGGGATTGATTTAATGTGAAATTGAATCAATATCGAAATATCATTTTGCACACACACAAAGACGTCTCGTTTAAAATTCTTTAAAAAAAGAAAAAATCAGTATATATAAATTTGAGAAAGTATATAATTTATAAATTATCACGCGTTTACACATTCTTTCGCTTCGAAATCTTACACTGGAATTGAAGGAGTAATATTTTCATTTAATCTCTCTAACGATATCGCTACCTCCTCAAAAACTTGTTAACCCTCTTTGTGAGTATAAAATTTTCCATTTCTGGAAGAGTGACTTTGTTTTATTTTTTTTCTTTATTTTTTGACGAAACTTATCTTGATTTTTCGATGCTGAAAGATCAAAGAGAAGAAAGGAGAAGAAAGTCTGTCGATCGAGGTCTGTCGAATCGGTAATCGATCCATACAATTTCGTCATCAAATTTCACTAGAGAGAATTTTATTACGGTCATTACAAATGACCCATCGAATGTGCGAATTATATAATTTAAGATTCTTGTATCCGTAACGGAAAATCGGAAATTGAACTCGTTCCTTGGGACATCGGATTACACTGGTTTTTCTTCACGATCGGCTTCGCGTCGCGAAACGAATGATCTTTCGTCGGATCGAGCTACGCGTTTCAGTAAGGTTACGTTCCACTTAACGCTTGCAACGCTCGCGAGCATTCGTCGACTTTGGTTAATTTTCGATGAATAACAAGAATGAAACAATCCCACGAGTGTCGGGAAAATAGGATTATCAAGCGAGACGTTATAAACTCGAAGCGGGCGAAGCGAGATCGTCGGGTTGCGAGTTGCGAGTGCGAGTGCTTCGGAAATTAAAGAGGCGGGGCGAGCGAGCGCATGCGCAGTCATTCGTTTCTGACACTTAGACTGGGTGCGCGGCGTTTCGTGCGCGTACAGAGATGTGCGGATGCGGAGGAAGAGATAGTCGCTCGTGGTAGTCGTTCGACGGACGTGCAACGGAACGGGCGAGTCGTGGCACAGGATGCATAAGTAAACTTGTTTCTTTCTTTTTTTCTCCCTCCCTCTCTCTCCCTCTCTGTCTCTCTTTCGCCGTAGTTTCGCGCTTTTGCGACGGGGCGGTATACAGGCACGGACGACTACTCGCGCACAGTTGGAGTTGTGTGCGTGCCCAGTTCTCTCGGCTTCTTGTCCCTGTGCTGCCGACAGCGCTGCTACCTCTCGCCCGCGTTGGCCTGCACAGTCCATCGTATACCGCGCATACGTTCGTCTCGAGAAATGGAGCTCGAGCAAGCGGCGTCGCAGATGAACGTGGACTCGGTAAGCGCATATTTCGCGTACGCATAAACCGCCGCGACTCGGTAGGAGCACGTTTTCGCGATATACGTTCGTCGGAGCAGTCTCGCCTCTTGGTCGCGGCACGATCGTGCCGACGCGAAATTTTTCTAAGTCCCAAAATGGCGTCTGTGACTAAGTCCGTGTACCGTGGCGCGAGCAATCGAGATGCTCCTACGACTCTGCCGCGGACGGCAAATTGATAATCGACGCGCAAAATCTCCGTGCTTTCGACAGTTTACGTTAAATTTCGGTTTGTCTGTTTCAGGAAAAGAAGGTCAAGGAGAGCGCCAGCGGCGGCGGTGGCGGTGGCGGTGGCGGTGGCGGTGGCGGCGGCGGCGGCGGCGACGTCGTCGTCGTCGTCTCCGGGAATCATAGCGGTGAGTTCCTCTGTTACTTGTGGTCGCGCTTAAAGACAGTCGCGAACGAGCATCGCACGACATATCGCAAACATCAACGTTGGAATCGGCGGGCGCCTCGTGACTATATCCCCCGGAGATTGTACTCCGATGCTCCGATTGAACGCCGCGGCTCGACACGTGTCTCGTGTTCTCTCCCATGAGAATCGTCGTTTGACAGAATTTACGACTTTACGCACGCGGATTCGCCTTATCCTTGATTAAAATTTGCGACAATCATAATATAATCGCAATATATTGAGAGGCGCGCGCGTATTCTACATGCATGCGCGTACAAATGCTTGAATCATTCGCGATAACGGAAACAAGAGCGCGCAGACATAAGTTTTTTGGGGGAAAACTTTCGATGCTTCTTGTATAAAAAAAATGCACTAAAATCAACTGCACGCAATTGTACGTTCTTTCTACTTGGTGTTCTTTCGGCTTGGTGTTTTTCAAATTTAAATTCAATTAAATCTATTTCAATTTGCTATCGTTTCGCTGCATTGCAAAGAAATCAGTATGTATATAATAATAAAATAGCTTCATTTTGCTATTTACTTTTTACTACATCTTTATACTTTATTACTTTTAATATAAGATTGCAAGATGCCTTTTAAATGTCCAAATTTCTTTTTAAATCTCTTTTCACTCTGCTGTAAAAAAATTTAATCTCCATTTAATTTTCCTAGATCATCTCAATGGCATGTCTAATGGTTTTGACAAAAAGAGGGAACACAAGTCCGAGCATAGGGATAAAGACAAGGAGCGGTCTCACAAATCGGATCACAAAGACAAAGATAGGAACAAGGAGAAGGAAAAGAACCACAAGAGCGAACACAGGGATAAGGATAAGGACAGGCATAGACATAGTTCCAGTTCTGTCAAGGAGAAACACGACAGTACCGGCAGTAATAAGGATAAAGATAAAAAAAGCTCCTCTAATAAGGATAAGGAACATAAGAGCAGCAGTTTGTCTAACAAAGATAAAGACAAGAGCAAGGAACATCATCACAAATCGAGTTCAAGCTCTAAGAATAAAGATAGGTAAAATAAAAGGAAGAGAATAATTAATTGACAACGACGCATGATTCGGGTTGCTAAACATTTATATTTTAAATATTCCTTCCAGATATCACAACAGTGGATCCAAGGACAAGGACTCGAAGAGCAAAGATAAAGATAAGTATAGGCACAATAGTTCCTTAAATTCTAGTTCGCGCGACAAAGACAAGGATCGAAATCTCTCGAAAGACAAGGAGAGAGAGAACAAAAAACATTCATCTTCAGGAGAGAGAGACAAAGATAGACATTCCACTTCCCATTCTTCGGGCGATAAAGAGAAACATCGTTCGTCGGAGAAGGACAAGGACAAACATAGAGAAAGCTCGTCCAGCAGTAAGGATAAGCAGCATCGTCATGAAAAAGATAAAGATCGTCATCGACACGATAAATGTAAGCAGTAATAAGAATAGAAATATACAATTGCATAAATATCCAATTTGATTCTTTCTAATCGCTCGCGTTCAAATGTTTACAGCTAAACATCGTGACGAGAAGGAAAAGAGGGATAAGGATAAGGAAGAAATTAAAATAAAGGAGGAAACAGATATGAAACTGAATCATGCGACCAATGAAAGATTTCATTATAATCTGGAAGTCAAGCCAGAGATAAAAGAAGTAAGATTTTCTTTGTAATTGGCAGGTGTTTTTGAAAAGATAAAGAAATTACATTGCGAAGAATAAAATTTTTTCTCAGGAACCTATGACGCAATTAGAACTGGATGAGGATGATGACAGCGGTGGCGAACGACCGCTCTACATCAAAGAGGAGGACGATGATGAGGAAGCCGTTAAGGAGGAAGCTAGCATGGACTCAACGGACGGAAACGATACCAGACTATCGGATCTTCATAACACGACTTTAAAAACGGAAGAGGACTCGGAGGAGGATAAACCATTAGTAAATTTCGTTTTAATTATATCGATCGAATGTAGGAAAAAAAGAAGATGGATATTTAGAGATTTATCGCTTGTCTTGTAGCTACATTTGGTCTATATCAGAATATAAATATTTTATCATCACTTATGTCTTCATTCTAAATTAATATTATTTTTCGTAATTTTATCGTATCAATCTTTTAATTCGCAATTAAATGTATATCGATGCAGTCGTCGAGGTCTAAAGTGTCGCCGAGTGTAAAGAGGAAAATCGAGTCGGACGAAGAGGAAGACGTACCACTGTCTGCGCGCAAGAAACCTAAAAGAGCGACTAGCTCGAAGACTAAGAAGAAGAAACGAAAACATGACGGGGAGAATGACGACGACTCTGAAGTAGAATCCGAAGAGGTATAGATTATAAAAATCTGTCCGATATTATGTTTTCTACGAATGGACTTTGAAAAAATAAACAAACTATGGAATGCATAATGGACTGCATAATATATTTGTTACAGAAATCAAAGAAAAAGGTAAGGGCGAAAGGAGAAGGTGCTAGTCCGAGAAAAAGGAAGCAAGAAGAGGAGCAAGAAGTTTGGAAGTGGTATGAATTTTTGAAATTTAATGCGTCTCCTTATCTCTCCCCTCGTTTGCGACGCTATCATATTTCGCTTCAAAGTGCAATATATTTTTCGCTTTGATTGATCTATTAAACGCTTCGAAATGTAATGCATTCATAATTACAATTTTATCGTGGAAAATCAATCACGTGGTCACTGCACTCTTCCGTTGTATTCCAAAATTACTCCTCGTTGATGTAAAATTACGTTCAATTGTCATTGATCATTAAGTCAGGATCTATATATATATATATATATATATAATATATATATATATATATAATATATATATATATATAATATATATATATATATATATATATATATATATATATATATATATATATATATATATATATATATTATATATATATATATATATATATATATATATATATATATATATATATATATATATTATATATATATATATATATATATATATATATATATATATATATATATATATATATATATATATATATATATATATATATATATATATATATATATATATATATATATATATATATATATATATATATATATTTTCGGGAATCCTTTTCTTTTCCGTTGCGAATCAAGCGTTAAATGGATTAATCCGGGTGAAGAGAAGAAAAATGTCTTTTTCCTCTCGTTGATCAATGAAATTCTACTGTCACTATTCGCTGAGCGATTAAGGCTGGGTTCCGTAAAGCACCTATCGCGTATGTATCTATATATACGTTAGGCACTAACAAAAGTAATAAATGTGCACTTTATGGAACTCTGCCTAAAAATAAAGATATCGATTCATCATTTTTTGATCGCGAAATGTCTCGATGCTGAAAATGAGCGTCTTATGAATGTGTACCTCGAGGGATCAAATTGAGGTAAGATTGCGCGCGCAATATTCATAATGATATCCAATAAGATTGATAGGTGTATTCGCGCAGTTTGCCATAAATTTTGCACTTGAAACGAAATGGATGCATGAATTTAGAGAGAGGGCGCTGAGTAAGAAGCGCGAGCAACACGAACAGACTTAATATTTATTCCCTAGGGACAAAAGTGTATAGTCGGGTTTGAAGTTCCTAGATGTGGAATGTCTCGTGCCTCAATCTGTTCTTTTCACCTGCTCTGCTGCACTAGTGCAATAAGTTAAAAAGAGACAAACACATTTTCTTTCACTCTAACTAATTGCACTAGTGCAGCAGTGCAACTGAAAAGAACAGACCCTACATTTTGGTATTCGGTATTTTTCTATCTGATTCGTACGTCGTGTTTATCTTTCGTAAGAGATGCGAATAACAATTATTCTATTGTTATTCACATATAATGAGGAATATAATGAGGAGCTGTATAAAAAATATAAGTTGTTTCTTTGCTAAATGCAATGTTAGAAGCTACAATTATAGCTACAAGACTAGAAAAACAGGCACTTGTGAGGTTAACATTAATCTGTGTGTAACAATATTTTTTTACGTTTTTCCACTTTTATGTATATAACCATATCCATCTTACAATGTCTTTACATTCAGTCATTTAGCATTATTAGCATTGAACGTTATGCTTTATTAAATGCTTTCTTCAGGTGGGAAGAAGAGAAGAAAAGTGATGGTACGAAATGGCATTTTTTGGAACACAAGGGACCAGTGTTTGCACCACCCTACGAACCATTGCCTCCCAATGTGAAATTTTATTACAACGGCAAAGAGACAAAGCTGAGTCAGGATGCAGAGGAGGTCGCAACTTTCTACGCACGTATGCTGGATCATGACTATACGACCAAGGACGCGTTCAATAATAACTTCTTCCATGATTGGCGAGAGGTGATGACTGAGTCGGAACGCGCCAAAATCACCGATCTATCCAAGTGTAACTTTAAAGAGATGCATGCGTACTTTCTCCAAAAGAGCGAGGAACGTAAAGCTATGACAAAAGAGGAGAAGCAGAAGATTAAAGAGAAGAATGACGAAATTCAGAAGGAATACGGCTTCTGTGTCATCGATGGTCATAAGGAGAAGATTGGCAATTTCAAGATCGAGCCGCCCGGCTTGTTCAGAGGTCGCGGCGAGCATCCCAAGATGGGCAAGCTAAAGAAGCGAGTATTGCCGGAAGATGTGCTCATCAATTGTTCAAAAGACTCAAACATACCGAAACCGCCAGCCGGTCACAAGTGGAAAGAGGTGCGACACGATCCCAATGTTACGTGGCTTGCGTCTTGGACGGAGAATATTCAGGGCCAAGTAAAATATGTGATGTTGAATCCATCTAGCAAACTCAAGGGCGAAAAGGACTGGCAAAAGTATGAGACGGCGCGGAAGTTGGCGCAGTCGATTGACAAGATTCGTGCGGAATATCGAGAGGATTGGAAGAGCAAAGAGATGCGTATTAGGCAGCGCGCTGTCGCTCTGTACTTTATCGATAAGCTGGCCCTCAGAGCTGGTAATGAAAAGGATGAAGATCAGGCGGACACCGTAGGTTGTTGCTCGTTACGAGTAGAGCACATTAAGTTGCACGAGCAGAGAGATGGCAAAGAATACGTGGTTGTGTTTGATTTCTTAGGTAAATTTTCTCTTCGAGGATCTCTCAAAATTGATTATACGTGTACAATTAATGCTATATATATATATATATATATATATATATATATATATATATATATATATATATTTTAATATCAGGAATTATATATTAAGTTATTTGCATATTATAAGAGAGGCAGTTTAACACATTCGCACATGCGCACGCGCACGCAAGGATTTTAATCTCAATAATGTATTTTATGGATTTAATCATTTTCCTCAATTTTTCAAAAATAACGAAAAATGTCGAAAGATTGACAGTTTTTGAGTTTGAACAATTATAAAAATTGTGCGAACTTTGTTGAATTGTGTAACTTTACATATGTTAAACAATTTTAATCATTACGTATTTCGCGCGCGCGCGCGCGTATAAGATATATAATTACACAAAATAGTTATGCATCATTTTATTTTATATTTTATCTATAACTATTGGATTATGTAAAGTATTGTAAGCTCTTATATATCTTTCGTATTGCGTCATACCTTTTCTTCTTTTACTTCACGTAATGTTTACGAAAATAATTTTACAGGTAAAGATTCTATACGATATTACAACGAAGTGCCGGTGGAAAAGCGCGTCTTTAAGAATTTGCAACTCTTTATGGAGAATAAATCACCAGGAGATGATCTGTTCGATCGTCTCAATACTACTGTGATGAACAAACACTTGAATGAATTAATGGAAGGTCTCACCGCCAAAGTGTTCAGAACTTACAATGCATCATGGACGTTGCAGCAACAACTTGATAAACTTACTGACCCGAACGACACGGAGGCGGAAAAGATTCTTTCGTATAATCGGGCTAATCGTGCCGTTGCTATATTATGTAATCATCAACGTTCCGTGCCGAAAACGCACGCGAAATCCATGGAAAACCTCAAGGCAAAGATTGATGCAAAGAAAGAAGCGATAGCCGAGTGTGAATTACAAGTGAAGGACGCTAAACGGGATGCTAAACACGGCTCGGTAAAGGAGAAAGTGTACGTTATTTTTCATTTATAACATAATTTATATACATTGTATCGTATGAAATATAAATCTCTTTACAAGCCATAATTTATATATATGCGCGCATTATTGCGATACAATAGATAAACTTTATGTTTTATATAATTTAAAGCTCCTGTTTTCCTATTGACATCATTCTGAATTGTGGCGTCAATAATGTAACAGGAGAAATCATACAGGTTTTATAATTTTCTTGCGAAATATATCGAAATAAATAAGTTTTTTTAAACATGTGACCACTCGTGTTCAGTATGGATCGATAAAATATGCCGAAAACTCTTTTGAATTTTTGAATTAATAAAAGAAGCTGTAAATCTTGAGCTGTAAATCTATTATCATAAGATCCATTTTTACTGAATAGTATACAGGACATAAGCAGATGAATGATACATACATTTATAAATATAAGGTGACAAAAATTGTAGGATATTTTACTAATCCATATTATCAAACATGGTCGCATTTAAAAAACTTATCTCACTAACACACACACATACACTTATTTCGATTCGCACATATTTATGTCTTCGTCGATTTATTCATGCATTCGCAAGAATAAAATTCATACAATTTCACCTTTTTGATATATAATTCAATATGGTTGCAGTGGGAATGCGGAAGTCTTTTAAAATCAGTTTTTTTTTTTTTTCCTTAATATTTCATGCGTGTATTTTTAATTATTTTTATATTACGTAGTTTGCGCATATTATTTGCATTGCAGTGCGTTCATCACAGTAATTAATCATCTGTCTTATGCTTTTACAGAACATATGAGAAGAAGAAAAAGCAATTGGAAAGATTGAAGGAACAATTGACAAAATTGGAAGTCCAAGCGACAGATCGAGAAGAAAATAAAGAAATCGCGCTGGGTACCTCTAAGCTGAATTATCTTGATCCCAGAATTTCTGTTGCATGGTAAAATCCCTTTTATATTTATATTTTTATTTTATTTCATATTTTTTATTTTACATTTTATATTGTTATTTTCATCTTCAGTTTATATTTTTATTTTTTTTAAATTTATATTTTATAATTTTAATTTCATTATTTTACCTGCTTCCTTTTATTTAATTTTACATTTCTAATTGTATATATTATATTTTTAATTTTATTATATATTTTATTTCATTTATATCGTATATTTCTTTATAAAGCTAAAGGAAATAAAATCAAAAAAATATATATTTCACACACGCACACACAACATTGTGTACGTGAATATTAAATTGTAATTATTATTATTATTATTATTATTATTATTATCTCTTTTTCTTTTTATTTATTTATTTATTTTTTCAATATCTTGGTACTTGTTTTTGTAATTTTATCCTTGTTTTCACTCTTATATTTTCAATGATTCTATGAATTTTTTTATGATACTCTAGGTGTAAGAAGCATAATGTACCCATCGAGAAGATCTACAATAAGACTCAGAGGGACAAGTTTCGATGGGCGATAGATATGGCAGGTCCCGATTATGTGTTTTAACCATGCAGGTCATCATTCACATCATCTGACGGTCTACGAAAGGAGGACATCTCCCGTTGACATTTTATCTAGTGAATTTTACATTCTAACAACCGGGAGACTTAAAAAAAATACATGTATGCATGTGTGGTGTATGTATGTATATGTATGTGTGTATACGTGTGTTGTATGCGTGTGTGTGTTTGTGTGTGTGTGTGTGTCTGTGTCTGTGTCTGTATGCGTGCGTATGTGCTTAAATAATGCAAAAAATTTTTTACATTTACGAAATATAAATGTAAGAAAGTGTGTTGCAAACATATTTTCTATAGAATGGTGTATACGCGCGTGCATTAAATCAGGCGCGACTATATATATCTAGTGTAATGCAATGTAATTAAATGCGGTATGTAAGCCCGCGCCAATCTCAATTCAATCATACACGCTTGTTTTGGAAAATTATATTTTAACGTTCGACTACTTCGTCTGTGTGCTAGCTCGTGCATATGTACAATATTCGGACGTAAAGAATAAATAGGAGGAAATCGTAAATAAATTTCAAGAGAAAACGCGCGCGAAGAGAACGATTTTGATTTTATTTCGTTTAGATAGAAATTTATTTCGAGCGTGTATGAGATGAGAAAAGTAGTAGCCCAAATTTGTGCGAAATTCATAGGCATGCATGTATGCATATACATGCAGCGGCAATTAATGTGGCTGCAAAGAGTGCGAAATAATTTAATGCATCTTACGCGATAATTTTGGCATGCCATGGAGTATGTACAACAAGATGTAGATGCGCTGTTGTACATATGTAGGAGATATTCATGTGAGTGAGACGGGGATACAACTTATTATTATAGTACACATTAAAAAGAAGAAAAGGAAAACGACTATCGCGGAGGAGGCAGCTGATGAATTTTATATTCTCTTAAAGCGTATATACGCGCGCATATACATATACATAATTGTTTCACATAAATGTATGATAATATCATTCATCAAATAGCACATTTACAATTTTACAATACCGTGTATGACGACATTATATGTACGTAGAATATATTCGATATTGTGCACATTTTTGATATAAATGGAAAAGCAGAAGATTAGTAAAGAATAGCAGATTTTCGCGGGATCGAGATTCGTCCATCCTCCCGCCCCCCCCCCCCCCCATGAATAGTATAAAATAGCGAAATTTATATTTAAGTGACTTATCGCCTTTAGCAATTTATGTTTTATAAGGTGATGTCTTCAAACTATAAAAATAAACGAGAAATATATCGTATCCTTTAATTTCTTAGCGTTATTCGCATATCTCGTGTTAACCTTGCGCAGTATCGAGCCGAAGGATAATGCGCGCCAGTTAAATACACACACACAGACATACTTTTATGCTTATTTAATGATAAATGTAGCATTTAGCTTCTCATTCTCGTGCTGAATTATTTTGGCGGAGGTGCTTATATATATATATATATATATATATATATATATATATATATTTCTAGGAGAAATTGAAAACGTTTTCCTTTCTTTCACATTTTTGTATCGCGAATCAAGTGTAAAAACATCCCTCTTTGGATTATAAAAATCGTAATCAGTGTTAGATTTCATTTTAAAAATGGCAACTCTTCAAAATTTTTTAAAACTAGAAGATAATAAAGGCAATCTCTGCCGCTTTCTTTCTCTCTCTCATTGTGTTTTGAATAGAAAATAAAAATTATCCCTGTGATAATTTTAAATTTTTGTACATGTCTCTTTAATTTAAATTTATTTTATATCATTCTAAATATGTGTAAATGGTAATAAGTAAATGGCAAATTTAAAAGTAAAATTTTATAATTATTATTATTCCGCTCAATTTGTACATATAGAATATCTCTTGTTCTCAATGTATTAAAAATATGTAGAGAATCGATGCTTAAGAAGCAAAAAGAAATACATTGATTGCGCTTTTATTGATTATACATTAGACGCAGAAAAAAATATTTTAACAAATTTGTTATGTACATAAATATGAATAATTATTTGTAATCATACTCCACAACTCAAATACACACATATACGCGTATAAATAGATGTATTTAAGAAAATTTGTAATGCTCTGATTTACATAAAATTATGCAATTGGAAGTTGCGAAAACATTAAAGAAAACGCTCAACTATAAAAAACTATTGTTAATTCTTTGACGCGTAATATATGTATAAAGAAAAAAGAAACGAAATTCTTATTCGCTTCATGTTATATTTATTCCGTATATTATCTTGATTTCTTACATGCAATATAAAAGTTTTATTATTAGTTATTGCTCTCTAAAACACAAATCTGTTATTTATTATATAGTAAGTTCATATATACATACATTATGTCTTTTACACAAACACATACGTACACACATCGTATTTACTGGATCATGATTCACGCATCTGCCATAAGCGATGACAAATGATGTATTAATTACAAAGAGAAGAACTAGTTATAAATCTACTAGTTAGATCATAATTGAGATTGATTTTAGACTGGACAAAGTATTGATATAATAATAATAATAATAATAATAATAATAATAGTAATAATAGTAATAACAATGTTTTTTCACAAATAACGTGATCACTCACGCAATTACTTGCAATACCAATAATAACAATGTGTATGTTGCGATGAAAGAAAAAAGGAGCAAAAAAAGGGAAAAAATGCAATCTAGTGTGAGAAAATCTTAATTGAATACTACTAAGATTTTTAATTTTTACAAAAAGACTTGAGTTATAGTGCAATTGAAATTTAGTCTAATTCTTTGAACTTGCAGAATCAAAGTACATACATATGTTTCAATAATTTTTCTCATGTACATATATATATATATATATATATATATATATATATATATATATATATGTACATTGGAATAATAAAAAATCTTAGTACCGAGAATCGCGTAGATTTTATTATATATTATTACACATCTCTTTAGTTTATAAAATATTTCTTTTAGAGGAAAAAGAAAAGGACAATTGTTTTCTGACTTTATTAATTTATTATAATATAATATATTTTATAAACAACGAAGTATAATAATACAATATAGTACTATTATATTGCTGCGCAATTAGTAGAGACGATAAAGATAAATTTTGTGTATATGTGTGTACATTATATATATATATATATATATATATATATATTATATATATATAGACACACACACATACCGCATATATATATATATATATAATTTAAAGCAAATGTACATTCATATGTGTACACGATGTAAATCCATATGTGAAATTATGTAAAAACTTGAAGACACATATATATGTTTTAGACATTGCGCAGTAAACTTGTACAGTGCACGAGGAAATCACATCTTTTATTCATGAATACTTATTAAAAGCTGATTAGTTAATGAATGTTAACAATATGTTATAGAATAATAGCCGCCTTGTATCTTTCTTTTTAAAATTTTTAAACAATATTAATTTTTTCTGCTCATCTTTTACTTGATAAAAAATATCTTTTACTTGAAAAATATCTTTTACTTGAAAAAAATACAAAACATGCTGTAAAAACTTTGTGTTGTTTAAAGTATAATGTTCCAACTAAAACTGTGGAATAGAAATAAAATTTATATATATATATATATATATATATATATATATATATATATGTATGTATGTATGTATGTATGTATATATAACGAATCACTCTCATAACTATCGCGTAATACATAATTGTGTTTAACAATTTTATAATTAAATAATGACATTTTGCGAAGCAATATATCTTACACTAATGACATAATAAAATATAAATTTGTAAACGAAAAAGAGAAATATTAGTTTTACTATGATCAAACGATTTTTACAATATTGCACATAGCATAAGCACGTATTTTCTTTTGTTATTACGTCACAATAGAATAAATACCAAAATGATAATTTCTACATTGAGATATGTAAATAAATTGCGATTTTTTCTTTTATTTTCGTATAGGTTTATTTCGTATAGATCGTATTTCCTTCATCACATGCAAAATTAAAATCTCTCTAAAAATCGCAAAATTTGAAATCTTCATTCAAATTCCTATATAGTAATATGTAATTATAAAAAGCACATGATTGTTCTAATGGATTCTATCGTATTTTTCTTCTAAAGTACATGTATATACATACATATGTGTGTATTTATATATATATATATATATATATATATATATATATATATATAAAGTCTTTTACAATTATAATTTCTTTCAAAATGGAGACATATCTCTTTATTTCAATTAAGCATATAGGGTAAAATCATTATAATCTTGTTAATGAAGGATATTCCCTGTTGGATGTACAATTCTAATTCTTCAGTCTAACATTATTAATCTTATCGTAATTACATGTATGAAAATTAATAGTTGTCTTTCAATATGTACGGTTTTACAAGTATTATATATCATACTCATCTTTTATATTAATAACTAATATAACATTTTTGCTTTTAAGCTTTGAAATTTATTATTTTAAATTTTGCTCACACACATACTTTACACCGTTGGAAACGATGCAATTTGAAAAATGATGTATATGTTCAATAAAAAAAGAAAGCAGTCTTTTTTATCGAATAAATAATTTTTCATTCAATAAATTAAATATTTTTCACTCTAATGACTAGTGTATCAATTGTACAAAGCACATATATTAAATTGTTTGCATTTAAATACATCTTTGTATATATATTTAAATGACTTAATTTGCAAACATTTACTTTTTTGGCATCTTTTAGAAAGATTACTAACAAAATTATTTTTTTTATATACGCTTTAAGAAATTTCGGCATAAATATATATAATATATATATATATATATATATATATATATATATATATATATATCTTTTACAAGAACATATACGCACATACAAGAATAAAACGCCGTAATCTTGTTGCGGTTGATACTACGTGTTGTTTTCTGAAAATTTATCACCAAGATGAAAATAGAATACAGGAAGAAAAAGCAATTTGACAATTTCAACTTCATTCGGGATCGGTTTCCGCTTCGTTAATCGGCAATATTGCAACAGAACCAGCAGCTGCTAATTTGGCTTTGTATGCCTCCGGTTCGAACCAGCGAATCGGTGCCTGCAAATAAGAAAGGATTAGTTTTCGAAATTGTCGAAATCGCGATATATATTATAAGGCAAAATCATTATCTTACCTTATTACGTTACAAACAACATGCTTCGATTCTTTGAAAAAGCGTCGAATAGTGTTAATTGAATTGCTTTCATGAGGACACATGCAAACGCTAAAGTTATATTTGAACATAATTGAGGCTTATAAATAAATGATGTCTTTTCTTATAGCGATACACATACACACGCACACATAACTAAAAACACATATTTTAAAATGTTTTTATTTGCTTTTACTGTCTAAACAGCATACAATGTTATAGGTGCACAACTTACTTTGCAAATTGCACAAATTCTACAGTATATTTTTTTAAAAAAACATGCTAAATTTTGAAAAGTATCTTATAAAGTATATTTTTCCTGTAAGAGGAAACAAGAAGCAAGATTCGACAGATTTTGCAATGGGCATTATTTATTAATACAGAGTGTGAGTTTAAAATACATATAACATACTATTTTTATTAGTCTTATTAGCCTCTTGTATACGAATGTGTATGTGTATAACATATATGTGTGTGTGTGTGTGTGTGTGTGTGTGTGTGTATATTATATAAAATAATATTCCATTTTTTGAAATAATGTGTTAGTGTTTTCGTAAAGTATAAAGGAAAAAAAGGTAACAGAGGAGGGGGAGGGCAAGTAAATATAATCCTTTATAATAAATGAACAATATAATTTAACATTATAAAAAAAAATATATTAAAAACATATCGTAGCGCGTATACTTCTAGATTCGAAACATAGGAACATAAACTTTTTTAAACTTTGGAGAATAACATTGTAGAAAACTTTGTATGCAATAAACAATAGATATAGTCTCTATTTTATGTAACAAGTCGGTTTAATCTCGATTAACCATCGATTTGAATACAAATAGCAAATTTCCTTCCTAAATCACACTTTACATGAGTATAGACGATTTTCTCTATTCTACATTTTTTCCTCTATCCTTTACGTCAACTATCTCCTTCTTAAAAATTGATTCTCCTTTAAATTCTTATCATTCTGTCACTATTGATATTTGTCGTAATAGAATGAGAAAGCGATAGAGTGAGGGACAGAACACGCAACAGTTTTAGTCTGTTAGAATAAGAGTTATGTTAGAATAAGATTGGAAACAAAATAAATCTTAGATTTTACAAGATCAGCTGTACATGTCCAATCAATAAATTTCTTCAATACGCGCAATCTTTTAAAAGTTAAATCGTATGCGCGTCAAAATTGCAAAACAAATATCGTATCTCATTTGTAACATCTTTGGTATTGATTTTGATAAAAATTTTTTAACTCCTTATCATTGCGAAGAATCACTAACTTGTACTTACAATATCACGTATATTGTGTCTCCTAGTTATAGAGTCTGCTATAATCTTCTTCAATACAAAACGCGAAATATGATTATTCACATAAGAGATTCGTACATTTATAATAATGTCTCCTCCCATGTGTTAATAACTTATTCAATAATCAGTTATTAAATGAGAACAGATTTCATTTCTGTTTTTGTAGCATCTAAATGCGTGTGTGTTAAAAGACACCATAATGATCACATTCATATCACCACATTCTCGGAAACGCAAATTCATTCTCGGCATAAGGTTCATATTTGTAGCAAGTATTATATATATATATATATATATATATATATATATATATATATATATATACACACATATATATACACATACATACATATATGAGTATTAAACTGCAGCGTTACAGGGAAGAGTAATACGAAAAGTGTTGCACAGTATGTGATTAGCGTTCTTGTCGCATAGCGGTACCTTACGAACTATATTAGGACATTCCTTCTGTATGCGCGCCCAATCGGCGGGAGGTCGCTTCGCGTACGGGCCTGTCGCGCATAGCAGCAGAAACTCGTACGTAAGTTCTCTTGCTTCCGGAACTGAATGAAGATAGAATTAAGTGTTAATTATGTATTATTCAATTTATTATATATAATTTCATTTCAAATTAAATGTAATGTAACCAAATTTTGTGAAACTATATAAAAACAAATCATTCATATGAACAATTTGTCGAGGTGTGTCATCTTGTGTTATTTAGAATTTCTTTTTTAACAAAATCATCAAGATCATACAATTCTTTTCAACTTAGAACAATTATTTCGATAATAATATTAAAAATATAACGGTTATACTATTTTTCAAACATACAAATACCTTGTTGAGTCTTGGATTGTTCTTCGGAGATCGGACGAGATTTGTAAGTTTCTTCGCTTTCTGAAGAAGTTGCAGCGCTATCCAGGCTCAACTCTCGATTTAGAGAAGAAGCATTCACGTTGTCCAACGGTGACAACGGTGTACAACGGGGAATATGGGAAGAAACGGTAGATACGGAGAAGCTGGGCTCATCCTCATAGTTGAAGTATTCTATCCCGCTGGTAAAGTTCTCAGAGTCGCCCAAAAAATGTTCATCTAGTACCAGTTTCGCCGTCTATAACCCCCCGTCCCCCAAATTCTCATTATGTGTATTAACATTCTCATTAGATTTTCAAAAATTAAATTATACATAAATAAAAATAGATGGAAACAAAACGGAAACAGAATATAAAAATGGAAAAAATAAAAAATTGGAGATATTATATAATTAAAATTATTAAAATTTTTTTAATTTAGTGAAAGAAGGATAAATACTGATAAAATAGATAAACAAATAAAAAATTGATAAATTCAGAATTTATGGCGATTTTTATTACCCTAACGAGATCGAGATTGCAGCCAGTAATTTTGAGGGACTGATTACCAACAGTAACAGTGTACTTATATTCGCCTATACTGGCATCGTTGGTAGAGAAACTGTGTAGGAGAGACGAACGTAGACGAGAGTTGTGTTGCAGCCGGTTGCTTTCGTCCGATGCGCTGCTGTTGAGCGAGGAGCTAGAACCACCCATGGCTCCCTTCTCGCCACTAGAGCTCTGTTCCAGTCTTACTGGAGATGCATTTCGTTGTATCGTATCTTTTATTAAATCCTTCGCGTAACTGGTATAAGAGAAAATGAAACAAAAAGATATCATTCATTAATTTTTTGTAAACAGATTTAAAGATTTATAATAACTAATAATTATATATATATATATATATATATATATATATATATAATACACACACACATATTAAATAATTTAATGTAAACATACTGAATCTTGTCCTCAGACGTGCCCGTGATTTGGACAAGTCGTTCTTTAGCTCCAGGGTTTACTATAAATCAAAATATCATGTAAGTTGCAGTGTTTTTTATTAATATTCATAAAAATTATGTGCGATTGTTATTGTCATTAAGATTTTTTATATAAATCTCTCAATGGTACAGTTAATACATTAAACAAGACGTAATATTAAATGTTGTTAGGAGAGATATATCACCAAGCGAAATGTATTAAGTATACATATATAAAATACATTCACAATATATTTAAAAATCTCTTATAGTTATGTATGTATTAAATATAAGATAAGAAAAAAAATGTCTGGTGAGTTATCAGATATATTAAAAAGAACAAAATAAGTTAATTAAATGCCAACCTTTCGTTCGGGTGAACCCGTGATGTGCGATCAATCGATTAATCTGTGTGGCATGTGTTAATAACTGGTAATATAACATACTTATTCGGCTTTTAAAGCTGCAAATGCAACGCACGATATTTTTACAGTTCATTCATCGAGCTATTAATGAAATACATTCCACAATAGCTAATACAAGAGAATTATTATACATTAGATTTTTTTTTATGAAGAAATTTTATTTTTTGACATAAAGCTCTGATAAAATAAAAAAAAATAAATAAAAAAAAAAGGAAAATGAATTTTTTTAGATCCATCTAATATGTATTTCAAAACATACGTTTTCTTACATTACACAAAAGAAGATTGATATATACTTTGCGTTTCACTATTAATAGGTTTTATTGCAAAATGGACACTAATTCAAAAGTGGTCAAATCACTCTGCGATTAAAGTGTGACAGTTCCATCATGCATAAATGATAAAAAAACGATTTGCTCAAAAAAGAAAGAAAAAAGTATCGCAACTTTTAGTCACACGTTTGTACATATATTTTGTAATAATTTTCTTTATAATAATTTTCTATATAGAACTCAACGTTTTTGAATGAAAGAGGAATAAGGAAGTGTATTTTTTCTTTCATAACTCAAGAGGCTTTATTCGAACGATTAATATCGTTCTTGCTATGCATGAGCACAAAATGCGACAAGCCATTGGCGAATCATTCATTGCTTTTTACCTCGCTGGAAGGAGATGATCGTCTGGCTGAGCTCTTCTATCATGTGAACTCGACGCCCTTTTATTCCCATCACTGTATTTTCGTGCAAATTATTTAACAACAGAACGAACGACAGATAACCAGAAAAATCATTAAAATTCTAATTGGAGGATGAATGATTACGCTTTACATAAAAATCAGTTTGTTGATTCCACTTTGTATAAAAAAAAGAAATCCCTGCTGAGATTATATATAAAATACTATTAAAGATATGTAATAACTCACAAATATTCTATAATAAAATAATCGATGTCAAAATCATAAAAATGATTGGCTATTCTAATATACGTGTAAAAATCGAACCTCATACCTCAGTTTAATCGAGTGAAATTTTTATAAAATAAATATATATTATTATAATATTTTACCTTTTCCCGAGTCGCTATTGCGAATGACGACTTCGTCTTTGCAGTAATTTTTTCCCGGTATACGCGTAGGTTTGGTGAATTTTCCGCTATTCTTGATTACTTCACCGGGTCCCAAAATCGGTGTTGAAGTGGGCGAAGTCATTGCTAATAACGGGGACGACAGAGAGTTTGTAGGTGTATCAGGGATTGCCTCAGTCTGCTAATAAAATATTAAATTGATGTAAGGAAATGTTAATTTAATCGTGCCGAATAACAATTGTTTTTCTCTTATTATAGATATTTCGGTACACACCACAAATTGAGATGCTAAGAATAAAAATTTAAAATTTCATAATTTTACTAATGATAATTGTAAAAAACTTCTAAAAATGTACAGTAGAAAATTCCATTTAATAGTCAACGTGAGAGAAACATCTTACTATTGACAAATATGGTTTTTATGTCTCCAACTTTTATTTTTATCATCTTAATATAATATAATTTCAGGAAACTATATAAAAGTTACAAACGAAAGTTTTAACTTACGTTGTCTAGATGTGACAACTTTTGCATATAATACACGTCCATCGAATCCGTGTGACGCCATTGTTTTGCTCGCAGTTCAATGAGTTCCAGCAGATGAACCCTGGTCGTCAGATCTAATCTGTCGTCCTGGCTCCCATTTCTGATCGCCACAAAGGCTCGGTCTAGCTGATCTAAAGAAATAATAATAATCCGTAAGATTACAATTCTTATTGAAAATCAAAATAATACATATAATCGTCTTACAATTGCTTTTACTTGCTACAAAATGACGATCAACGAGATAAAATTAAGCAATAATTTAGAAAAAATTTCATTATTCGTTAAAAAGTTTAAACTTGAATTTTACAATTTTTCTACAAACAAGCGCTTTGTCGAATCGAACAATCATATTCGTAGCTATATAGTAGACATTGTAGATTCATCACAGTTTTAATGCTTTTATCCGTGTTTGGCAATGCCAGATTATATTCAATAGCGATCAATGCTGATACATTATTTATCCATTTGTATCAATACTAGCGCATATATTTATACATACAAATGTATACGTATATCTTGGGGGAATATAAAGCATAAAAAAAATTATAAACGCACATTCATTACAATCAATTATATTATATAAATCAAATATAATTGAAAAAGTAATATTAAATATACAAGTTGGAACTTTCCATCAAATTTTATATAAAAAAAAATCCAAGCAATTGAGAGAAATAAAAAGGAAATAAAAAAAAAAGTAAATTTTACATTTCATTTACCTTTGTAGATAGCTTCCAATTGGTTGGCATAAAGCTTCAAATGACTACACATAGAGATCACATTCATTTGCAGCGTTCGATCATGGAAGCCATTGGTCAGTTGCATCGCAACATTGTCGATTAGGGATACTATATCCTCTACTGAAAGATCAGAAGAGATAAAGAGTTTGATCATCATTTATCTAAGAATTTAAAAAAAAAAAAAAGAAAAGAAAATCATTGCACACAGTACATGTCAACCAATACATAAATGTACAAATTATTACATATATTTATAAGATTAAACAAAAAAATAATTATGTTCTTAAATGAAATTATCATTATAGAAGACCACAAATTAATTATGTGTAAAATTTGCAATCATAAACTATCCAGTATCGTTTAAAACAAATAATGAAAACATTACCAGTCGTGATCCGTCCATCGACGGTCGAATTGCGTTGGTTAAGCTTAAGCGGTCGTGGTTTTTCAAGTTTCTTCGCAGTTCTGGTTCTGTTCAACTGTGCAGTAGCCATATTATCTTGGAACAAGAATATTATCATATAACGCAATCCAAATTATTACATTATAAAAATTGCTGGAAAAACTAATGCATACATTAATCAATATATTATTGGAGAGAAAAAGTGAACGAGAGACGTCACTGTTTTTGTTATACTTAATATTATATTATTAGAGTATCAGTATTTTCTATTTAATATAAATATATTATAAGAGATATTAATATATAACCTAAATTGAACTTTTGTTTTCATAGAATTCATAGAAAATTTCATGCTATGCCACTATCTTCCAATAGCCTTTTTTTCACATATCGCGTAATTCTATATATATATATATATATATATATATATATATATTTTTTTTATATAGAAATAGCAATAGATATGTCTATATTATAGGCAAGAAAGGAAGAAGGAAAACGCAGAGAGAAAAAAAGATATAAAAGTCTGAATCTGTGAAAGTCTGATGAAGAAAAAAAAGAGAGTAAGCAATGATTATATATATATATATATATATATATATATATATATATATATATATATATATATATATATGAGGAAAATGGGAAAAAGATTCATTATACACACACACCCGAACACACACACACACACACACACACACACACACACACACACACACACACACACACACACACGCACACACACACACACACACGCACACACCATCCATATGCCATACTTATTCCCATATATACATATGTAGCTGTGTTCGCTGCACTTTCTCATACACTTTCTGCGACTGACATAAAATAAATGTATATTTATGCTTTGGTTAGAAAGAGAAGGGGGGAGAGTGAGTGAGGGAGAAAGAGATAGAGAGAGAAAGAGCAAGAGAGAAAGAGATTGTAACTCAGCAATTACTAACTGCGAAAAAAAGATTATTTCTGGCGTTTTGTTTCACTATATACTATACTATGCACATAAACACAAGCGTAAATGCATACCATACAACACAATATACATGAATAAATTAATTGATGTGTCAAACAAATACATCGATGAATACATTATTCCTTATTATTCCTCAGTTCTAAATGAGAACATATTTGAACGAAAAAACTGCTGTAAATAAATGGTACATTTTTGCGATAAACGACGATATCGCGACAAGATATTAAATATACCTTTCACGAAAAATACCACTCTGTCCGCCGTGCAAACGGATCAACGACACTGAACGATACGCAGATCGTTCCGGGATGTGAGCATACATTGTAGGCATATGTCACGAAAGTAGACCCAAATGCCTCGAAATCTGATTCAACATAGAGAGCCTAGCATTTGCTTAGCTTAACCTAGCTATTAGCGCCACCAAGTTGCAATGATGTCAATGACGTACATAACTAGACCAAGCATTCAGCAAACTCAACATTTGGGCAACATTACCAGATTTCTCGATATAATTTGAAGCTGATTGGCCGGATCTGAAAGTAGAATCTAATCACGTTCGATTGCTACTTAGGCCCAGTTCCACAATCCAGTTAATCCGAGTTTAAGTAGCAAATGAATCAATCAGGACCCAGTTTAATGTATTAAAATCGGATTAACTCGAGTTGTGGAACCGGGCCTTAGGACCGCTACGACCAAACTCCGATTAACAGGATGCGTTCCGAAATTCACAACCAGTACTGTAAAAGCCATCACACACAAAATTGCATAGCTGCATATGCACAGAGAGAAACCTGAGAGCGGCCACCTCGCTTTAACGGGTATATTGTCCTAATGCGCTCCCTGACAAAGTGGACGTCAACTACATCCATTACAGTCGATAATAATACATGGTTCGTGTCTGAGCTATGGTTCATGTCCAATCTATGGAGTAATCCCAAAAGTGATACTCCCTCTATGGACATTCAAAACATGGACATGAACTACAAAGTCAAAATCCATGAATGTTATCAGAGGGTAATATATAATTGCACAATTTCTGGTTTTGTTCCGTGCTATGTGCACGAAATGCCGGTAGCACCAGTGCTATATAACAATTAAATACTTATGTGTGTAAATTGATAATAAATAAATTATTCAATCGCGACAGATACTGTAATATTCAAAGATGAAATAAATATTTTTCAAAATAAATTGGTAAATAATACGGCTCTATGTATTTATCAACATGATAATTAAGTAAAGAGCATTAAGAGTCCACAAAACGCGGATGGCAATGCGTAAATTATTTCGAACATTAATTGTTCGCGAATTTTTTTTTTTTTTTTTTTTAAATGCGTTATTAGGAGAACATGATTTGTAAAGAGGTCATCAACGCATTATCGACCTCCTCGCAAAATATATTCTCCTGATAATATAAAATAATAAGAAACGAATTTTCGAAAATTTTCACGCTTGCATTATTAGGAGAACATGATTTGTAAAGAGGTCATCAACGCATCTCCGACATCCTCGCAAAATATATTCTCCTGATAATATAAATTATAAGAAACGAATTTTCGAAAATTTTCACGCTTGCGTTATTAGGAGAACATGATTTGTAAAGAGGTCATCAACGCATCATCGACCTCCTCGCAAAATATATTCTCCTGATAATATAAGATAATAAGAAACGAATTTTCGAAAATTTTCACGCTAGCGTTATTAGGAGAACATGATTTGTAAAAAGGTCATCAACGCATCATCGACCTCCTCGCAAAATATATTCTCCTGATAATATAAAATAATAAAAAACGAATTTTCTAAAATTTTGCCCTTGCGTTATTAGGAGAACATGATTTGTAAAGAGGTCATCAACGCATCATCGACCTCCTCGCAAAATATATTCTCCTGATAATATAAATTATAAGAAACGAATTTTCGAAAATTTTCACGTTTGCGTTATTAGGAGAACATGATTTGTAAAGAGATCATCAACGCATCATCGACCTCCTCGCACAATATATTCTCCTGATAATATAAATTATAAGAAACGAATTTTCGAAAATTTTCGCGTTTGCGTTATTAGGAGAACATGATTTGTAAAGAGATCATCAACGCATCATCGACTTCCTCGCACAATATATTCTCCTGATAATATAAATTATAAGAAACGAATTTTCGAAAATTTTCGCGCTTGCGTTATTAGGAGAACATGATTTGTAAAGAGGTCATCAACGCATCATCGACCTCCTCGCAAAATATATTCTCCTGATAATATAAATTATAAGAAACGAATTTTCGAAAATTTTCACGCTTGCGTTATTAGGAGAACATGATTTGTAAAGAGGTCATCAACGCATCATCGACCTCCTCGCACAATATATTCTCCTGATAATATAAATTATAAGAAACGAATTTTCGAAAATTTTCACGCTTGCGTTATTAGGAGAACATGATTTGTAAAGAGGTCATCAACGCATCATCGACCTCCTCGCAAAATATATTCTCCTGATAATATAAATTATAAGAAACGAATTTTCGAAAATTTTCGCGATTGCGTTATTAGGAGAACATGATTTGTAAAGAGATCATCAACGCATCATCGACCTCCTCGCAAAATATATTCTCCTGATAATATAAATTATAAGAAACGAATTTTCGAAAATTTTCACGCTTGCGTTATTAGGAGAACATGATTTGTAAAGAAGTCATCAACGCATCATCGACCTCCTCGCAAAATATATTCTCCTGATAATATAAGATAATAAGAAACGAATTTTCGAAAATTTTCACGCTAGCGTTATTAGGAGAACATGATTTGTAAAAAGGTCATCAACGCATCATCGACCTCCTCGCAAAATATATTCTCCTGATAATATAAAATAATTAAAAACGAATTTTCTAAAATTTTGCCCTTGCGTTATTAGGAGAACATGATTTGTAAAGAGGTCATCAACGCATCATCGACCTCCTCGCAAAATATATTCTCCTGATAATATAAATTATAAGAAACGAATTTTCGAAAATTTTCACGTTTGCGTTATTAGGAGAACATGATTTGTAAAGAGATCATCAACGCATCATCGACCTCCTCGCACAATATATTCTCCTGATAATATAAATTATAAGAAACGAATTTTCGAAAATTTTCGCGTTTGCGTTATTAGGAGAACATGATTTGTAAAGAGATCATCAACGCATCATCGACTTCCTCGCACAATATATTCTCCTGATAATATAAATTATAAAAAACGAATTTTCGAAAATTTTCGCGCTTGCGTTATTAGGAGAACATGATTTGTAAAGAGATCATCAACGCATCATCGACCTCCTCGCAAAATATATTCTCCTGATAATATAAAATAATAAGAAACGAATTTTCGAAAATTTTCACGTTTGCGTTATTAGGAGAACATGATTTGTAAAGAGATGATCAACGCATCATCGACCTCCTCGCACAATATATTCTCCTGATAATATAAATTATAGGAAACGAATTTTCGAAAATTTTCGCGCTTGCGTTATTAGGAGAACATGATTTGTAAAGAGGTCATCAACGCATCATCGACCTCCTCGCACAATATATTCTCCTGATAATATAAATTATAAGAAATGAATTTTCGAAAATTTTCACGCTTGCGTTATTAGGAGAACATGATTTGTAAAGAGGTCATCAACGCATCATCGACCTCCTCGCAAAATATATTCTCCTGATAATACAAAATAATAAGAAACGAATTTTCGAAAATTTTCACACTAGCGTTATTAGGAGAATATGATTTGCAAAGAGGTCATCAACGCATCATCGACCTCCTCGCAAAATATATTCTCCTGATAATATAAAATAATAAGAAACGAATTTTCGAAAATTTTCACGTTTGCGTTATTAGGAGAACATGATTTGTAAAGAGGTCATCAACGCATCATCGACCTCCTCGTAAAATATATTCTCCTGATAATATAAAATAATAAGAAACGAATTTTCGAAAATTTTCACGCTTGCGTTATTAGGAGAACATGATTTGTAAAGAGGTCATCAACGCATCATCGACCTCCTCGCAAAATATATTCTCCTGATAATATAAAATAATAAGAAACGAATTTTCGAAAATTTTCACGTTTGCGTTATTAGGAGAACATGATTTGTAAAGAGGTGATCAACGCATCATCGACCTCCTCGCAAAATATATTCTCCTGATAATATAAAATAATAAGAAACGAATTTTCGAAAATTTTCACGCTTGCGTTATTAAGAAAACATGATTTGTAAAGAGGTCATCAACGCATCATCGATCTCCTCGCAAAATATATTCTCCTGATAATATAAAATAATAAGTAACGAATTTTCGAAAATTTTCACGCTTGCGTTATTAGGAGAACATGATTTGTAAAGAGGTCATCAACGCATCTTCGATCTCCTCGCAAAATATATTCTCCTGATAATATAAAATAATAAGAAACGAATTTTCGAAAATTTTCGCGTTTGCGTTATTAGGAGAACATGATTTGTAAAGAGATCATCAACGCATCATCGACCTCCTCGCAAAATATATTCTCCTGATAATATAAATTATAAGAAACGAATTTTCGAAAATTTTCACGCTTGCGTTATTAGGAGAACATGATTTGTAAAGAGGTCATCAACGCATCATCGACCTCCGCGCAAAATATATTCTCCTGATAATATAAATAATAAGAAACGAATTTTCGAAAATTTTCACGCTTGCGTTATTAGGAGAACATGATTTGTAAAGAGGTCATCAACGCATCATCGACCTCCTCGCAAAATATATTCTCCTGATAATATAAAATAATAAGAAACGAATTTTCGAAAATTTTCACGCTTGCGTTATTAAGAGAACATGATTTGTAAAGAGGTCATCAACGCATCATCGACCTCCTCGCAAAATATATTCTCCTGATAATATAAAATAATAAGAAACGAATATTCGAAAATTTTCACGCTTGCGTTATTAAGAGAACATGATTTGTAAAGAGGTCATCAACGCATCTTCGATCTCCTCGCAAAATATATTCTCCTGATAATATAAAATAATAAGAAACGAATTTTCGAAAATTTTCACGCTTGCGTTATTAAGAGAACATGATTTGTAAAGAGGTCATCAACGCATCATCGACCTCCTCGCACAATATATTCTCCTGATAATATAAATTATAAGAAACGAATTTTCGAAAATTTTCACGCTTGCGTTATTAGGAGAACATGATTTGTAAAGAGGTCATCAACGCATCATCGACCTCCTCGCATAATATATTCTCCTGATAATATAAATTATAAGAAACGAATTTTCGAAAATTTTCACGTTTGCGTTATTAGGAGAACATGATTTGTAAAGAGGTCATCAACGCATCATCGACCTCCTCGCAAAATATATTCTCCTGATAATATAAATTATAAGACACGAATTGGTTTGTGGGCTCTTAATGCTCTTTA